TTTTGAATAAATGATAATACAAATTCTCATATTGTATAACTAACAAATGAATTTGCTGTGTTTATGTTTGTGAACTGCACTTTAAATCCTCTGACTATTATCAACGGTCATCAAGTTATTTAGATGAACACACTGGACGAACTATAACATACAAATTGGATCGACTTCAACTGAAACCTGGTGTAGTTCCGCCAGTGCTCTCCAATTGGATAATAAAAATATATAATTCATGCAAAAGAAATAATGATAACGTTAGCTTAAAAAATATGAATGTGCAAAAGTTTTTATCCATGACCAAATTCTAATACAGTAGAAGTCCAAAAATCCGGACTGCTTGGGGATTGGGTCGGTCCGGATTTTCGGATTTTCCGGATTCTCAGGCAGTACTTTTAAATTTCAAATTTAAGGAGGAATAAAGAAGAGATGAACAGGTACATTTTGATAGTTTATTCATTAGCAAATATAGCATGCTTCATTTATCAAAACAAGCAGTTTTAAAGAAAAAGCTGTGAATTCTAAAATTTTATTCTTTGCCTTTTTTTCTATCATAAATTGTAGACTTTACAATGTCTCATGTTTCCATAAGAACAGTATTGTTCACACCACGTTCTATTTTCTTAATTATTTCAAGTTTGTCTCTCAATTTCAACATGTTCTTCTTTCTCTTCACACAACGAAGTTTATCTACTTCGGGAGCCATTATTATGGGCTTGTACAGTACTCTAAATGGAAAGAGTAGGACTCAAAATTACATACGTTGTCACAGTTTGATTGCTCGTTTTAAAGTGGCGACCGTGTGGTCGCTTGTTGTCACTGTGCAACTGTGACACTCACGCATACTCATATACACACAAAAGCCCGCTAAAAAAAAAAAGAGTTCGAAAAGTCCGGATTCTCGGGTGGTCCGGATTTCTGGCATCCGGATTTTTGGACTTTTACTGTACTACAGTATATCTTTATAAAGCTCCTCCCCGACTTTCGACCTAATCAACTGACGACCACCCGGACATACGACCGCCTCAGTTGTACCAAAATTTTGTCAAATTAAGTATTTTCGAGTCCCAACGTCTGTGATTGTGCTGTGTACTGACAAAATTTTCGTTTGTAATTCACTTTAAAATGGCTGGCAAGCTTAAAAGTGAGAGTTTTGTGGTGCTGAGAAGAAAAAGAGACACCCATTTTAGATTTTATATATATTATTTAAGCATTTTCGACTTAGGACCATTTCGACTTACGACCTGGATTTGGGTCCCTAACCCCGTCATAAGTCGGGGAGCAGCTGTACATGAATTCAATGAAATTTTGATGGAAAATACAGTAGTATATATTAAACATCCAAAAAGATAATTGAACTAAATAATATTATATTGTACTCACTGATGGGCGGAGGTGGAGCGAGTGTGTGGTGGGTAGTGGAGAGGAAGAGGGCGGCGAGTCACTTAGACCCAGGGGGTGTCTCCTCCTCCTACTCTGACTGGGGTTCCTCCTCAGCTGCTGTTTGCGCCTTTTCACTTGCAGGCTGTTGTGAAGTGAAATCACTTAGGCGTCGTCTGGAACTAGTGTCGGTGTCGAGTAAAATTTTACCATTTATTTGAAATAGATTTACCGATTTATTTGTTTATTTATTTATTATTTATAATATACTGTAATATATTACAAAAGTAGGCATTAAATACACTGCAGGTATTTTCTTTCACTTATAAACTTGCTTTGCAAGTTTATTGGTAGGACTGTGTTCGGACGGCTGTTTGTTTACTTCGGCGGCAGTTGCAAATGGCGGGCGGTGCGTGATGATACCTGCGCTTATTATTTTGTTATTTTACGGTATTTATGGTATGTTAGACAGGTTTATAATAAATTGTTATTATTTTAATATAGTACGTACACATTAAACCACAGGATGTAGAGGTTCGGATTTTATACCTGGCGTTTAAGACGACCCCTAATTTAGGACTTAGTTTTTTAGGTTCATATTCTGTTTTATACGCCGACATATACGGTACATCAAGATGCTAGATCTGAAAAAATATCCCATTGTTGCCAACGTACAAGTAATATCTCCGTTAGCCAGAATCCCTCAAACCCGGAACTGTCCGATAGCCGGAATTGAAATTTTCTTGGAAAATATTTCCCAAAGCTGCGAGTTTCCGGAAAATTCCAGCTTTGGGAACGCTTTTCTGAGGGGCACATTTTCCAGAAATTTTGAGAACATTTTTCCTCACCCGGAAAATTACGTGGATGTTGGATTTTTTCCGGCTTCGAGAGAGTCGTCTCGTTCCCCGGAAATCTCTCATTCCTGTAAGTGCTCTGCACTAATCGCTTTGGCTAACTGGGATATCGCTGCACTGTATTTCCATTTTAATAAAAGCAATGGACGGAAAGCTGAGGTCTTCTCCACCACACATCATTTATTTAGGAACATATGCATCACACATTATTGCCTTCATACAGGTTTCAAAGAATATAATGTCTGAAGTGACAACTAATTTAAAATTTCTTATGACACAAGTGTCAAACACTGATTACAGTAGTATGTTATTATCAATGATGAGTCAATTCACACCCATTACTCGCCGTTGGTTTCTTTACATATAAATTAATACTGTAGGTACCGGTATAGCTGATAGGGTGGGAATTAGTTGTGCTTAGAAAAAGTCATATCTTCATTTACAGTTCACCATCCTCACACAACCAGCTGTGACCAGGGTTGCCAGATGGCCGTTTCCACTGCCAAATATCTCTAATTAGGCCGTAAAAAACTTTGCCTGGCCGTGAAAAAATGGATGGTCATGGCCAAACTATTTGGCCGAATTTTGTAAAACACGTATTACTTCCTCATCTAGTGGATTTTGAAGAAAAGTCTAGCAGATTTTCAAATTTCACAATGAAAATGCTGGCTCAGTGACCTCACCTTGTCATGACCTCACCTAATCAGTGACCTCACCTCTTCACATGTTTACGTGACCTACTGAGAACATAAGAAAATAAGGAGTCTGCAATAGGCTGGTTGGCCTGTGCATGGCAGCTCCTGTCGAGAGTTACTACCACTCTCTATCATCCATGAATCTATCCAGTCTCCTTTTGAAACTTTCCAGCGTTCCAGCACTCACTACATAGTTGCTAAGCTTGTTCCACTCGTCCACCACCCTGATCTTTCTAGTTACTACCTTAGTTGTTAGTTCTCATATTTGAGTTTTTCAGGCTGAACGTGTCCAGCATATGGGTTAAGCTTCAGAGCTTACAAAGCCATCTGAGTTACTTTCAGAAATTTCCGAGTGCTAATTTTCAAAATGTCCACTAGTAAATGGAAAGGGTCCTACGACAGTGGTAGAAAATATAACAAACCAGGGGACGATGACGAACTAGACGTTTTTGCTTACGCCAACTAGTGTTATCAAGTTTTCCACCATTATCATGCTCCACCACCATTTCAGATTAAGGTAAATCTTCACTGTAGATTATAGATATTATGTTTATGTAATTATTTGGCTCTCAATTCTAATTGAAAATATGATTTTATTATGACATTTTAAGTGGATATTGTAGGGGATACTTTTATTTTGTGTGGATTGCAAAAATAGCCTTGTGCTTCCCATCCAAAAAGTTTTGGCCGATTTGGCCGTGAGATGGCGTGAAGTTGGCCGTGAAGCTTGTCGTACATCTGGCAACCCTGGCTGTGACATGAACCTCGGATAGTGAAACAGATAGCAAGCTCAGTCTACATATTATTATTATAAAATGTTTTATTATTTTTGCAAGCAACAAACACATGTGAATAAATAATCACTGCAATTACTTTCAAACCTCTTGTTCACACTATGGTCAAAGTTTAACATGAACAGTATGAATATTTTCTGCATAACATAGGAGACAAGGAAAATAATAGATATTAACTTAAGCTCCAATTGAGTGTTAATAGTTCATCATTCATGAATACTGTACTACCATTGCTGTAGATAGAGGGGCACCTGCCTCCTCTTCGCTCCCTGTTGCCCCTCCTCGCATCCCACATCTCCGTTATACCACTTCACCTCGCCATACCACCGTCCACTCGGCAAAAGATAGCTAATAACAGTCTTAATTGGTGCATTTCTTCTTAAATATTTAAACACTCCACAAATCATTGCATTGAGATATTTGTTTTTATATTGCTTTAGTTTGATTCCATGGTATGTTTACAACTGCAAATTTCCTTCTGTCGAATGTAATCAAACACAGTACAGTATTAACACACTGCACAAAACCTGTTGAGCTCTTGTAAATGCACTAGTGAAGGGGACTGTACTGTACATATAGCCAACGATGATGAACGATAATTGTGTAGCTATATGATGGCGGGGAGATGTGATTGACAAAGTACCAAGCACAGGGTTGTAGTGCACGGGTTGGCTGTGTGGCGGTTCTTGGGTAGTTATTACCGTGGCTGACAAGTGAAGCCAGAGATGCGTTACCTATGGTGGTGCATAGGGTTAAATATTGTTTCCTTATAAAATGTCACTGACTTGACATAGAAAAATATAATTTGCATTGCTGAAATCCTTGCAAGACTGTGATTAATATAAGTACTGTACAGTATATACAACCCATCGTGTGCATTAGAGATAAAAGAAATTCCAACCAATGGGTATCGTTACTTTAAATTTTTTTGATCGTTTATAGCGAGATGGTCTTAATCCATGACCATTGTTAAAGTGGAATACCGCTGAATGAGACATCACTTTTCAAGGTTTATCTGTACAGTACTGTACTGTATTTCACTGTAGATGTACTGGTAAGTTCTTTGAGTACTGTACTGATAACAAGGTTATGGTCTAATATGACATGTACTGTACTTGTTTCGTAAAAATCTTAATCTTTAAATTGTTTGAAGATTTGGTGGTGTGTGTATAAGCTAGCTATATAGAATAAGGCATGCACAGTACAGTACTGTATACAGTATGTACAGTATTTTAATTGTTTTCAAGGAATAAATAAATAAATGCTTTTCTTTTTTCAGATATTGCTTATGGTGATGAAGAAGGAGATGAGATCTCTCCAGATATCTGGCAGGAAGCTTGTTGGCTTGTCATCTCTTCGTACTTTGATGAGAAAGGTCTTGTCAGACAGCAGCTGGACTCCTTTGATGAATTCATTACAATGACCATTCAGAGAATTGTTGAGGATTCACAAGCAATAGATCTCCAGGCTGAGGCTCAACATACTGGTGGTGAACTGGAAACTCCAGTAAGTTTATGCTCACTTTTAATTGTGTTAATAAAGCTCAATTTGAAGGGTATGACTGTGTTATCATCATAGTTTTAATTAAATCTAAAAGTGTGTTTTTTCATTGAGGAGTTATGATAATTTTAGTTTACTGTAGCTTAATACTCAGTACAAGTATACTGTACCTTGTTATACTTTGGGCTTGTGTTACTGAAAAGTGACTACAGTATAAATTTGCCATAGACCTAAGGATATGAATAGGGGTTACAATACTATACTAGTGCATTTTTCCCAGCTGATAAGAGATGCCTCAAGAATTACAGCTGATTGGCTGTTGCAAATCTGTCTAATTTCGTCCTGAAGTAATGATGTACAGTAAGATCTCATATTTTGCTTGATTTCATTTCGCATTTTTTAATTTCATGAGCAATACCGAATGTAACCAAGTCTTATATTTGCCGTAAAATATCGTGAATTTTGTGAGATCCAGCCAGCTGAATGCTGGCCACCGTCTTGAATGACGTCACAGCCCTCATACCAGTTACAGTGGGGTATGCTATAATGAATCTAATTGGTTCTAGAACCTCGTTCGTTATAGCATTCGTTCATTATAGGGGTAATCCATTCTAGGTCCCCAAATACAACCACTTAACACTGAAAAATATAATATAAAATTGTAAAAAAGTGTATAAATGTGCATTTAAATTCCTGAAATAAAGAATATCATTAATACTTGTAATAAAAAATAATAAATTAGTACAAAAAATGATAAAAAATACTGTTCGTTGTAGGAGTTTTGTTCGTTATTGCATTCTCAATTTTATAGGAAAAACAGTTCGTTATAGGAATATTCGCAGTAGAATCCGTTCGTTATAGCATACCCCACTGTACAGTCATTTCTGCTACAACGCTTGTTTTGTTAACGCGAACTGGTTGTAACGCGATTGATGAATAGGGAACACTGTTTGTAAAACGCGAACTTTTGCATACGAATGTTGGCTATAGCACGATTCCATCCTCAACGTTTTAAGCGTGGCACGGGGTTATGCAATGTTTACAGTTCACATTCGACATCACATGTTCAATTGATTTGTGTCTTTTGTTTGTGAAGTGTTTTTTGAGAGGTATTCTGTAAATTTCTTTTTTTTTTATGCAAATTTAGCTGTTTACCATAATACTGTATGAAAAGAATAAGTAAAAAGAATGTTTAGCAGTGAGGACTAATAACGGTTTACACCAGCGCTCTCTGTTTACATCACGTGATAAGTTGAATCGCGTGGTTTTTGTCGATTGCACCGTGATTTTTGCTGATTTCTCCAAGTTTGTTGTGTTAGCGATGATTATGGAAAGACAAGGTAAGAAGAATGTTTCCAAGAAGCGTTCTGGTGATCGAATTGTAGCCCTCGCCATCCTAGCGACCGCCCTGGCTGCTATTGTGTGCTTTTTTGGGTGGTGCTACCACATGTTGAGTCAAGATAATGGCCTCTACCTCTACTGGGGGTCCTAATGGTGCTGGTGGGACAGACCCTCCTAAGCGGCCAAATAAGGAAAAGGATAAGCGGGACTATAATAAGTGAGTTAAGTTTGCCAAGTACTCGATGCAGGATAAACAGTGTGTGATTAAGTTACTTGAGGAAGGCCTAAAAACTAGTTTCCAGAAAGCACAGTCAGGTCAATAAAGGCAGAATTTGTATCATTTGGAGGTTATAAATGGGAATATCAGAGGTTGATGTAGAGTAGCCAGTCTATATTGTTATTTTTCCCATTAGTTTGTGTATTTGCATTTGGCAAATTTAAATTTGGCTCAATTTTTCAAGTCTATATTACTTGCGAAATACAAGATCTTACTGTACAGTATTTCTAAATGAGTTCATAATCGTTAGGATGACCGTTTCTGACGAAAAAGATACAGTATTTAGCTAAATTATATAAATATACATACATTCTTTATTTCAAACATGAGCACATAGGAAGTTTATCAGAAGTCTTATAGAGCAGGGAGGGATATATCGCAAGATAGGGTCCAAGGGTGTTCGCAATATACTAAATTGCCATATATTATTGCATGTTATCAATGGAGAAAATAGGGTTAGGTTCTGGAGGCCACTAAAAGTGACTAAACTTGACTTAACGAGTTAATTTTCTTACTAACTAAAGCACCAATGAACACTAAACTCGGGAACACCAGGCTATTTCAATGTCAGTACAGTATCAATATCAAGGAACACCAGACTCGGCAGCTGACTCACCATCCTGGGACCACCAGACTTGGCAGTAGTCGCCACACTGCCACCCTCACTTGACAATCCCACACCTACATAAACGAACACCAAAAATATTTGTTACAGTATTATATCTTTTCCATTAAGCTTTCCATTCTCTTCACTTTTCACGTCACTAGCAACCCATTTACACTCGCCTTAGAAGTCGTAATCTGCAGCAGTCAGCTGCTTTCTCGTCACTCACTCAGAAAGACTGAGCTGGCGAGCGTGAATGCGTGAGTGAGCAGTCACAGTGGTGCCTCTGGTGAGCAAATAACGCATTTGTTTGCCATGGCAGTACATTTGAAATATTTCCTGCCCGATTTCCCTCGTTTCAATATAAAAAAAATCGTTATTTAAAGTTGCAATATATTCCGACCCTTCTGTACAGTGAACCCTCACTTTATGCGGTCAATTGAACCCACGGCGGCCCGCGTAAAGTGAACAACATAACATATGGGATTAATTGAAATAGAGACCGGGCCGACCCCCAAACTCCACTTTTTCAGACACAATACCTACGTTGTAGTAAAAATAACTTCTTAATTTTATGATGGTATGCACACGCAATTAATAATTAAGAGAAATATCAATAATATTAGGTTTTTTAACACTTACATTAGTAGAAAAGATGGCTGGGCACACGGGGATGGGGGGTTGGTTCCGAGGCGGAGGGCAGATTATTGGCCCTCACCTGTATCACTTGTATCAATTGTATCACTATCCACCACAGAGGCTTGCAGGGCCTCTTTGTCAAACCCCTCAAAGTCCATATAAGTCCATATCCTTACTATCACTATCACTGACTTGGGCCGGCTGTGGTGGGTGGCGGGTGAAGAACCCGGTAATGTTTTGATGACTGGGCGACCTTGTGCGCACCCTGCTCACGCCACTTTCCGCGTAAAAGGGTACACACACCGCGGAAAGTGAGCATTCCGTGTTCGGCAGGGTACCGCGTAAACGTGGAAACGCGTAAAGCAAGGGTTGACTGTACATGAATTAACTGTTAAACTCTGGTAGCAAATTCACACTTTTGGAGAACACATTTAATATACTGTATACTTATTTTTACCCACAATAAGGCATACTAAAACAGATTATTTATCAGTAATACTACAGTATGCAAAAACGACCATAAGTAGCGGCGTATAAGTCGACCTCAAGATTTTTAGTAAAAAATTCAGGTTTAGACCTATACTTGCCGTATAAGTCGACCCCCCAAGGCCCAAACATAGGCTAGGCTAGAACTTTCATCAAGACACTTACCGTAATACCTTTCAACATTTGATGTATATACAGTGGTCCCTCGGTTAACGAATGGTTCGGTTAAAAAAATTTTGGTTAACGAATTACCTTCCATAAGAATCTTCAATTCGGTTAACGAACAAAAATTTGATTAACGAAATCCTTGCGCACATAACGTTTTGTTGTGAGCATCAGCTGATGGGCTAGTCTGCCAATTCAGTAATTCAGTAATCTGTTCTATGTTTACATTCGTTTCCAGTGGAGTAAACATCAAGAAAATTGTGCTTTAATATTTGTGCATTTTTTATATTAAAATTATTGGTCATTCTAAAATTTAGCCATCCAAGCTCTGTCTACAGAAAGTTTTTCAACTATTATTTTAGGCTCTATATATGTAACTTTATTCATTTATTGAAACTCATTTACATGCACACACTGTCCTAAGGGCAAAGCTGTATTGTATTGTACATGTAATCAGTAGAATGTACAAAATGAATACTAAAATTTTAGTCTAGTGCAAACTATTGCATGTTTACATTCAAATTAATCACTATCGTATAAGAATTCCAGCAATGTAAATTATATTCTCCCCGGTCACTTCTATGAAATTGTATAAGCAAAAAACAAAAACTAAATCTCAAGGACATAAACAAACAAATATATACTTCACTAGACCTTCTGTGCTAACTGTCAAACGTATCACCTCACCTCCCGCTCCCCCCCCCCTCACGCCCACTCGCTCCCTCCCTCCCTCCCTACCCCCCACCCTCCCAGCAAAGGTTTGGTGGTTTTAAGTAGGCTTTCAGTTTTATCTTATATAATATCTCAGACTAAAGTTAGAATATAATTTGCATTGCTGGAATCCTTCCAAGACAGCGAATGATTTTAATATAAACGTCATATATTTTGCACAAGAGATAAAAATTAATCACCTGTATCACATTACAGTAGTGATTTAATAGTAAGAGTGTATATGTATGTATATGTATAGTGATTTAATGGAGATTTGGGGGAATTTTAGGAGTGTTTCTGACTTTATGCGTTTTTCGCTTTACTTTGTACTGTACCTGGTATATACTTTTCTGTGAGCTGGAACCAGTTACCCAATTTCCCATTGAAACAATGGTTTCGGTTAATGAACGACCCTCTGGACCACTGTATTATATAGTTGTCACAAAAAGACGAAGCTCACTGTCGTATTAACCTGCCCTGCAGATGGAACTAAATTAAAACCAATGGTTATATTTAAAAGAAAAACAATGCCAAAAATAAAGTTCCCTACAGGTGTTTTGGTCCATGTCCATGAGAAGGGTGAAGCTGGAGTACATTTATTGATTGACAATGTGTGGAGTAGGCGGCCTCGTGGATTACGCAAGGAAAGGAGCTTGTTGATTTGGGACATGTTCAGAGCCCATTTAACACATAAGGTCAAGAAGCATCTACAGTGGTCCCTCGGTTAACGAGCACAATTCGTTCCAGAAGGTTGCTTGTTAACCGAAAAACTCGTTAACCAAA